TTATTTATTATTATGTTTCAAGTTTGATCGTCCTACTAAGGCGCTCATGCGATTATGACTATCATTTAGGCTCGATATATATATTTTTTATCCTACTTGGAAGACGATTCTTCTGATCTATGGTTTAAAGAATTTGGAGTATGTATTTTATTAATTTAATAATTTATTTAAATGATAATATTATACTCATTTAAATTAAATTTGAAATTGTGCAGAAATATTTTACATGGGATGTCGAGGATGAGCCGCTTCTTAGAAAGATTTTTATCGGCATGGCGGTCATAGATTATCTGACATGCTTTTGGAGGCGCGAATGAGAAGAAGGCCAGACTGGATCAATTCTTCCATATGGGATAGATTGGTTCAACATTGGCAGAGTGAAGAATTTTGTCGAGTGAGTGCTTAGAATAAGAGCAATCATCCAATCTGAGAAGGGTGGCTCACTTCATATTGGAGGTTCAATTCCTCCACACGAGCATGCTCGAAGAATGGTAAGTATTGAATAATAATAATAATAATAAATGTCTATTATTCATTTATTGATTATTATTGTAGGCGAAAGAAAGTGAAAAAGTTTCTGTCATTTGCAGATATTTTTCAGCCACTGTCATCTTAGGAAGAGGACAAGAAATGGTTAACGAGCAGTCTGAGAGAACATTTGTGAGTTAATTTAATATAATATATAAGTTTAAAATTTTTGTATTATATTATATTTTTTTATGTATGATTAATATTTTCATGCAGCACGGGTATCAACGTCGTCTTGAGGAGACTCATCTTCTCCAACATCTGCTGGAGATTCTGATACTCCTGGCAGCACTCCGACTTATTCAGATATGGATATTTGGACTCGTGTAGTTGGCGGAAAAACGAAAGGACGTATATATGGGTTAGGGTCACAACTGTCTTCAACAGAGCGTTTCAGTCAGCATTTTCTTCTACACAATCTCGTAATATACAGTTAGAAGCAGAAATGGCTGACATGCGTCAGAGATGGGATCAATGCAAATAGAAATGGGGACGTTGAGAGAGGCTTTCCAGCATTTGGTTGCTAGGCTGGACAAACATGATCGTCCTGATTCATCTTCTGCACCTCCTACATCGTCATTGCCTATTCAAGACACGAGTCCGATGATGACGAGTCTGATGATGATAGTATGTCAGATGACACTGAGTAGTATTTTTGCTTATCGTTAATTTGGACATATTGGTGACACTTAAATTTGTATTACTAGATTTTTAATTTAATTCGATTAGGTTTTTATTATTGTAAAATTATATTTTTATGTGCTTATTTTTAATGTCTTTCATTTTTTTAATACATAATAAAAATATATAATAATACATAATAAAAAATAAAATTATAATAATTATAAATAAATTTAATATATCATAAAAAAATTAATAATAATTGGAAATAATGGATATTTTCGTGCTTATTTTTAAATGTTTTTAAATATGAAATATATAACAATATATAATAAAAATAAAATTATAATAATTATAAATAATAAAAAATAAGGGAATTTGCTTATTTTTAATGTCTTCATTTTTTTAATACATAATAAAAAATAAAATTATAATAATTATAGATAAATTTAATATATCAATAAAAAAAATTAATAATAATGGAATAATGGATATTTTCGTGTTTATTTTAATGTTTTTAAATATGAAATATATAATAATATATAATAAAAATAAAATTATAATAATTATAAATAATAAAAAATAAGGGGAATTTTCGACGGAAAATAACCGTCGGAAATTTCCGTTCTGCCGAAGTTTTCGGCGGCCCGATTCCGCCTGAAATTTCTGGCGGAAACTAGCCGTTGGAAATTTCCAACGGCCACTTTCCGCCGAAAATTTCCGACGGTATAAAGTCGTCGGAAATTTCCGGCGGCACTTTCCGCCAGAAATTTCTGGCAGAAAATAGCCGTCAGAAATTTCCAACGGCTTTATAACGTCAGAATTTCCGCGAACTACGGCCAGAAAGTCCATCGGAAATTTATTACGATGTAACATTTTCTGTCGAAAAAATTTTCCGACCAATTTTTACCGATAGACTGTTGATGGTCAGAAATTTCCGTCGGAAACCGGTTTTCCGACGGGAAATTTGCTATTTTCCAATGGATTTTTTCTGTCGGAATGAAGGCAATTTCTTGTAGTGGAAGTTCTTGTACTTTTGCCAATTTCTTGGAAGTGTTTTCTTTTTTCTAAGATGTTTTTGATGATCAACAATTCCCTTCTCTACGAAGAGAAAGTTTTAAAGGGATATGGAATCAATGGATGAAGGAAAACTAAAAAATAAATTTCATCTATTGAAACAATCTTGGATAAGGATGGGAAACACAGAAAAAGTCACCACACATAGTGCCTGGGGCATTATGGCACCCCAAGTGCAATACACAATAGTGCTACCCTATTTTTTTATTTAACAAAATACATTCACACTCAAACTTTTAAAGGATATCTCACCGACCCAACCCTCTCAAGAATTCTTGCATCAGTGTGGATTAATATTAAATACTCCTATAAAACAAATAAAAATAGTTGTTTATTGGTGACAAGATACAATAGAAAAAATGGCAAAATTTTGTAATTTATTGTAAATTTTTACTAAAATGATAATTCTATCTCATAATTAAAAAATTTTACCATAATTCCCTTTTCATTTTTAATTTTCAAAACATTGGAGCCCATGGAATTAACAAATTTTGTGAAATTATATTTTAAAATAACGAAATTATTGACTTATATTTAAACGTTTTTCAAAATTTATTGCAAGTATTTTTAAAATTTGACATGATAAGTCTTATTGTCAAATTTCTGTTATTTAAGAATAATTTAAATAGAAATAACTAATAAAATGCCATGAGCAAGATATTCAACTGAAATTGATAATAAAAATAAATTTCTATTTCGGTTTCATTTTATTGCATTTAAATTTAATTATTTATATACTTCAATGGGAGGTTTTGCCCTCTAAGTACAATCATTTAAAATTTTTATGTCTTTAAATAAATGTTTCTAAAACATGTTAAACATATCCTTTACCATATGATAGTGAAGCTGCCTGTGACGAGGTATCATAGAAGTTGCATGGCCCCACCATATAATAATTTTTATATTTAATATAAAAATTAGATTTGGGATTCTAAATTAAAATAATCTCCTCCTAATGGAATAGAAATTTATATAAAAAATTATATTAACAGTGAATGAAAACTGAACACTCATTCACGCAAATTAAAGTTGAATAGTGAAATTCAACAACTTAAATAAAAAAGAAAAAAAAAACTCACAATTCACCCCAATTATTTGGATTGCCTTACTTTCTTTTTCTTTTTGACATGCCAGGGATAAATTTACTGATTTATTTCTTTACTTAGCTGCATTTGTGGTCTTGTACTTTCAACTCTGTTGAATTTGGCCGAACTCCAAAAATATTTAATTTGAAGATGTTTGCCGGATACCGTGGAACAATTTTTATTTAAAAAAAGGCTCAATTTGCCTATATATGTTGTTCTTAATTTAAACAAAAAGCTGAGAGCGTCCTCCTTTTTATGAACTCGACAAGTCATTCCCACGCACTCTTATTAGAAAAAGAAAGCTAGACATCCCTCAACTTCACACAAACTTTGCAAGTCAACCACTGGTCAGCTCTTATTTAGTTTAAAGCAGCACGTTGACTTTGTAAGACTTAAATCAAAAAAAATCAATCAAAAGATGCATTACTTATTGTTGCTGACCTAATTTACTTTATAAATTAAATGATAATAGCTGATTATCCATGTGGCATAATAAATTAACAATTAAATTCAATTTAATAACAAATCTTTTCTCTTCCACTTTGCTCCACCATCTTCCACTTTTCGGTCACGGAATAGCTGATAGGATAGCATACTATCTTCGATGCCATTTCATCGATGTCATTTTGTAATTTTATTATCATTCTGAGAGTAAATTCCAGAAATTGTACACGTTGGAACCCACCGTGGAATTAGCCCATAAATTTTTTTAAGAAAAAAAAAAGAATTAATGGGATCAAATAAACTATTTTAAAGTAAGTGAGAATACGAGATAATGGGTTGGAGATATTGTGGCCAAATAGAAGAGCTAATGAAGCAGTCGGCGAGCTGATGGATCACATCCTTACTAATTTTGTTCTAGAACTTGTTAAAAGCTTTTTGGATCTGGTCAAAATTCCTTTGTGATAAACGTGTCAAAGCCAACAGTGTCTCTCCACTTACATAAATTGTTTAATTTAGTCCGTAGAATTTAGAATATATTAATGTGTCAGCATTTTGAGTGTGTTCTATCTTGTTTTTAGACATGAGACATGATTAAAGGTGGAGTTTTGGTTAATAATTCTAATTTTATAAAATGTATTCGATATTAAGTAGCGCTGCAGAAATAATAATCCAAATAATAAAAAATAATAACTAGGAAAAAATCGTGGGAGGAAAAAATAAACTTTCAATACATAAAAAATGAAATTAGGCGAATATATATATATATATATATATTTGGTTCTAAAAGGATGAAGGATTATCAAAATGATAAAGGGAATATTAAAGAGAATAAAGAAAATTAAGAATTTGGTCTCTCCGCACTTTTGGGAGAATTTATGAAAGCAAGAGAAAAGAATTCCAACTCCGGAATAAAATAATCTTCCATAAATATGTTAATTCCCACCATTACCAAGTACGACATAGTCAGGAAGAAATAGGTAACATGATAAGCAAAAGGAGGACACGTACAACTATGGCTTGAAATATGTTTCAAAAAACAGCGTTGGTCTTTAAACAAGTGTAATTGTTTGATGCGCTTCTTCATCTTTTCTGTTATTTATTTATTTATTTTTCTTTTTTTCTTAAAATAATCTCCTTCTATGCAACTCTACGTGTCCTTAGCTATACGATAAAACTGATATCATATAATCAGTTTTTAACCAGAACTTAAATTAACAGAACCGACCCTAATATTAACAAGCCGGCATGGAATGGAAAACTCCGTCGGGTGCCATGGATACTGTTCTGTGGTAGCTTAACCAGCGAGATGTGTTAAAATATAAAAAACTAATTCAACACATTCAACTCCGCATGGAGGTTCCAATAATGTATTGGGTCTTGTTTTGCCACCCAGGGGAAGGACTAAAAGGAGGAGAGAAGTAGTAAGAGGAGACGCCGAATGCTGGAGAAAGTCTACCGTTCCACGTCTTTGGCTATTGTCAAGACTACGATATCCCCTGTTCAAAAGGTGGGAACTCACCACAACAGAGTATGTTGCTAGGAAGAATCAGTTGCACTGGTTGGAAAGTCGCCCACAACCAAAGGGGAACGTATAGCCCAGTGGCTAGCTTCCTTTTCCTTCCGGGATTTATACATCTCCTCAGTCTCAATCACAACCAATCTCTTAACCTTAAATTTAAATTATTAAAAAAAAAACAAAACACTTTAGTAACCAGAAAAAAAAAAGGCGAATATCCCATGCACGAGGTCGTTTCTTATTTTTCTCCTATTTTCTTCTTAATATCCGGATTGAGTTGATGCCGAACTATGTAAAAGTGTAATACTAAAACTCGGCACAATTAAAAATAAGATGCTTGCTTGAAATCATTTATATGTAGATAAATGACATAAGTTTCAAGAAATGCTTTTTAAATGAATGAGGGTTTCTTCTATAAATAATACCCAGTCATTTCTTTAGTAACGTGGTCGCATTGGTTCGAATGGGGTTTCGTCAATGAAAAAACAAACGGCTTTAAAAAAACCAAAAGTTTGGCTGGAAAGCACAATAGCTACTCTATATAATCTTAAGTCACCCTATGCTTAACTAAAACAATCGCAAAGGAAAAAATAATCAGATACTTTGTAATTGCAACATCTGCAAGATGGTTTAACAGTAGAAACAAAATTCCATACTGCCAATCTTGTTCGTACTGGGGCTGTGGGCTTCCCAGGCCGCGTTGTCGCGAGCTCCGTGAAGCATTCATGGCCGAGAAGCACGAGCAATGGATGGCCAAACATTGCCGTGTCTACAAGGACGCTGCAGAGAAAGAAAGGCGCTTCAAGATATTCACGGACAATGCAGAGTTCGTGGAGACCTTTAACAAAGCCGTAATCGATCTTACAAGCTCGGCCTCAGCAAGTTTGCAGACTCAACCAACGAAGAGTTCCGGGAGTCTCGTAGTGGAAATATGCCTCCACCCACCCGAAGCCAAACACCATTTAGATACAAAAACATGATTTCAGTGCCATTAACCATGGATTGAGGAAGAATGGGGCTGTCACCGCAGTTAAGGGACCAAGGTGAATGTGGTAAGCCACTCTATATACACTTATTAATCTCACCCATGCAACTAGGACTATTATGATAACCCAAGTGAGAAAGTGTCATTAGCTCTATCAACTTATTTAGCGCGACCGAATATGAAAATCACCCTAGTTATGTAGTACCAATGTATGTAGACTTTAAATATTATATTTTTTTTTTATTTACTCAACATATGAGACTGGATACTTTTGTGACTGGATGTTTTAACTACACCTCTTATAGAAAAATTTGTGTTCATAATATTTCTAATTGTTTTACAGGAAGTTGCTGGGCATTTTCGGCAATTGCAGCCACCGAAGGAATCAACAAACTGAAAACCGGCAAGTTGATATCACTCTCTGAGCAAGAACTGGTGATTGTGACAAGGGTGGCGAAGATGAGGGATGTGATGGAGGGCTCATGGAAAGCGCCTTCCAATTCATCGTGCATAACAAGGGAATTGCTACAGAAACCACCTACCCATACAAGGAACTGATCAAACTTGCAACAAGAAAAAGGAAGCCTCACGTGCAGCTAAGCTCAAGGGCTATGAGATGGTGCCAAGAACAATGAGAAAGCATTGTTACAGGCCGTGGCTAACCAACCAGTTTCTGTTTCCATTGACTCAAGTGGGCGTCACTTCCAACTCTACTCGAGTGGAGTTCTCACAGGAGATTGCGGAACAAATCTAGACCATGGAGTGACTGCAATCGGGTATGGGACGAGCAGTGATGGCATCAAATACTGGCTTATCAAGAATTCATGGGTACTGGCTGGGGTGAGAACGGTTACCTTCGGATGCAGAGAGATATTGGTGCCGAGAAAGGTCTCTGTGGAATAGCTATGGGGCTTCCTATCCTACTATTAAAACTAAAAGTCCTGAAAGCTTGTTATCCTCGTCTTTAACTTCAAATCTAGTCTATGTTTGTCTGCGCCGTGTGATAACAAATAACCATCTTTTACTCTCGCGACTTTGTGACTAAAGAAGTTTGTTGTACGTGAATGCGAAATCTTGGAGGTAAGTCTTTCATTCAAGAAAAAAAAAATTTATCTTTGTTTGTCGGATCAGTTTCAGATTATTTAAAAAAAAAAAAAAGTAAAAGGTTGGGTTTGATTTTCGATTTAAAGGATTAAAAATACACTAAAACGGAAGCAAATCTACAGTATTATAGGTTAAAGAGTTGAGGCCTCCCCTGTTACAAACACTTCCCATGTGTAAGTCTAGACTTGGAAAACTTTGCCCTCAAATCAAATCATAAATCTGCAGTGTTACTGGGCACTAAAAATAAACCCAATCATAAGTCTAATCTATAAAACTAAACTCAATTCTTAAACCCATTAATAAGCCCCATAAATTAAATTCTTATACCCAATCATAAAGCCCAAGTCAATAAAAACAAACCCAATTCACAAGCCCAATAATCATAAAAAAATATCTAAATCTAAATAAAAATATAAATCCAACTCACCCTTTCCCAGTTACTAATATTTCTCAACTTTTTGGAATTTTCAATAATTAAAATTTTTAAATTAATATAATTCAATTAAAAAATCTTTAAACTTAATTTATATCAATATTCTTCAGAATTTTTTTTTTCTAAAATTTTATTATAAGAGAATTTTTTTTTTCTCTATCCATTTGTTCCTATATATTTTTTTTCTTACCAATCTTTTTCTCTCTCTTTAACTTTTATTTATTTTTTCTCTTGATAGAAGAAAAAGGGGTTTGGTCGTATTTATTTTGCCTTGAGTATTAATTTTATTACAAAAGAACTATCCTTTTATTTGTATATTTTGGAAACCAGATCCTAAAAGTCCAACTTGGATTTCTGTGTAGGACTGGCCCCATATACCTTAAATCAGTAGTTTAAATACTAATTTTGCTCATAAATGAAAATATTACACAAAAACATCGCACAAAAATTATATTACACAAAAATACAGCCAACCATCCAATATTATACAAAAATTTCATTTTTGACATCATGCATGAAAAGAAAATATTAAGCAATTGGATTAAAAAAAAATAACAAGAATATTTTTAAAAAAATTTTTAAATGCCTCTTTGAAAGAGAGGCCAGGGGCGAAGTAGGGCAGCGCAGAAGCAGAAGCAGTAGCAGAGCATAGAGAGGCTAGGAAAGGAAAAGGCTGGAGAAGGGAAGAGAGAGGTCGGGGAAGGGAAGGGAAGAGAGAGGCTGGGGGAGAGAGATGATGGACGACGGGGAAGGGAGGGGAGAGAGAGGGATCACGGCTAGGACGTGAATAAGCAAACGGATGGCAAGGAAGGGGGAGAGAAAAAAATGAGAAGGAAAGTATGGCCGGAGTTGGGTGGGGGGGGGGGGGGGGAGGTTCAAAAGGGGTTTCTATTTAATTTTCATGGGTTTCAAATAAAAAAAATTTATTTTAATTTTTGTTCTTCCGACATATGCCTGCATCAGAAAGATATATTTTTTTAAACGAAAATTATTTTTTATGTTTCTGACCGAAGATGTCCGTTTTCCATCAGAAAAATACTTTTATATAAAAATAAATGAATTTTCGACTTTTCCAACAAAGGCACTGTCAAAAAGCCATTAGAAACCATCTCCCGCGACATTTCTGGCACCAAATTTCCAGGAACTGTCCGTTGGAGAACTGATGGAAACCCGTCCATCGGAAAATTTTCCGTTGGAATTCCTATTTTTCTTGCAGCGTGTAGCTTCCCTATTACTGGAATTTTTTTCCAGTCTAGTGGCCAGCGCACTATGGGCCCCCAAGTGAGCCATAGCCCACCAAGTTCTGTCATTTGACAAAGTGCGATGCGCAGCACAATAATTTTTTTTTTATTTGGTAAGAAACAAACTCATACCAACCAAATTCAAATCAAAATCATCCTAAGGACTCCAAGGGTCCTTGAAAAGTTAAATAGTTAGAACTAGAATCTTGAAAAGTTTGTTCATTTAGATTTTTCTCGTTGAGATTCTAACTTTGATTTGATTAGGAATTCAAAAGAATCAGTTTTTTTAATATAACTGTATGAAATAGAGAGGAAAAGTCGAGGAACTTTGTATGCGACGTTTGGTCCTCTTATTTCATAAAATCAAGGTCTCAGATCCTGTATCATACTTCACTCAGTGCAGTTATACATCTAATGAATGACATCCATAAATTCCTTAGATGGATACTTGGTTCTTCATAAAGAAACAAGAGCAAAACTAAGGACCATATGAACATCCAATTTGTCAGTGATGCAGCTAGCAAAAGCTGGGAAACATACATTTTCGATTAAGGCATCTGTCATCACATTATAAACAGACTATATTTGTAAATTTCGCAGCCCAAAATAACATGGCTATTCAATCCCAGTGAACCAATTTCAAATGCCATGCAATGGGCTAACACCATATAAAAGGATAAATATCTGGGGATACTTGAGATGAGCCCAACACTCAGATTTGATTAGTTGATTCGAGGAACAAATGACATTGCTCAAATGTCACCTCCTCCCTCAAATGAACCATAATCAAAATTGTTGCTCAAACGGGAAAGAAGTATAAATGTAAAAACTTAGATAAGCATGGGAGTCCAGGTGGCCACCTAAAGAAGACTATCACATGGCTTTCTTACCCTTTTTGTGCATTGATTCTGACTACAGGTCATGTGGCATGGGGATAGGGGTAAAATTCAGGCAACGGTATTAGCTTGCAAACTCAATTTGTCATATTAGGAGTCCAGGGACTAAATTGAGATTTCAAATAATCAAAATGGAGAAAAATGTGTAATTATTTAGCTCCAGTACAGAACTATATTTATGCTACCTCGGAAAAGAGTGGTCCTACTCTTATTCAATTCTTCTGAACCAAAGCAGTCCTTCACACAACACTTAAGCATTATTGGATAAGGATGTCAACATGTGAGCCATGGTTGGAAAAAGTACCTTCATTATATTTGAATCTTTAACCTTCATTCTTCAGTCAGATGAAACAAGCAAAGGTTGAGTTATATAGTTCACTTATACAAGCATCTTGATGATTTATTTTATTCATACAGAACTCTACTAAAATGAAGTGAGTATGCAACAATCACCAAGATAATCTATGACTAGACATCAACACTGTGAAGGAAAACTATCGTAAAATCAATTATTCAATATCCCACATAAAATAAATATTTTTCAGGGAAACCAGTTGAATTGAGATGCACCACTACCACAAACTTTGGGGGAGCAGATTAGCTGAAGTACTTGATAACATTTCACAATGAACTAGATATTTTCCTCAAAATCAAAATATGGTCTTCACAATATCCCATGTTCAAAAGGTGGGAACTCACCACAACAGAGTATGTTGCTAGGAAGAATCAGTTGCACTGGTTGGAAAGTGGCCCACAACCAAAGGGGACATAGAGCCGGTGGCTAGCTTCCTTTTCCTTCCGGGCTTTATACATTTCCTCAGTCTCAATCACAACCAATCTCTTAACCTTAAATTTGAATTATTAATTAAAAAAAAAAAAAAAAAAACAAAACACTTTAGTAACCAAAAAAAAAAAAAAAAAGGCTAATATCTCATGCAGAAAATAAATATGATTTCCAAAGTAGCTTCCAAACCTGTTGAAGTATTCCTCTTACAGTTGGAGTATTCCATCTCATGACAGTTCGATTACACTTGTGAAGTCTCAGCCCTTCCAATGTACGCCTGTGAAGTCTCCTGGTTCCAGGAATGCCCTCACCAAGGTTATGTACAAGTTGGGACTCCATGCAATGGGGACACATGCTTTATAAGCCTTGAATGCATTCATTGTTTCTTGCTTTTCTGAGAAGAGTTACAGGAATATAAATAAAAAAAATAATAAATAAAATACAAAATATAGGACTGGAAGTAGCAGCTCAAGGAATAAAGTCAGGCTACTTTAAGAACTATGTGAACAATAATTTTACGTTCATATCAATTTAACTATTTATAAATAGGATTGAAATTTCAGTAAACAAAGTGATGCATTAAATATCATGAATTGGCCTAGCAAATAAGCATTATCAAATATCTCTTCATGACTCAGAAAATTAGGAATCTTGTCATGACCCAACCCAGGATTGTGACCTGCGCCAAATGTAGACTAGCAATCCCTAGCAGGCCTAACAAAAGCATGATATAATAAACTAAGTATGCAGTTTTCCTATATTTTTGGCAATCTCTCCTAAAAATTGGACATTTCCAAATGTATCCCAACTTGTTAAACAAGCAATATAAGTACCTAAGAACAAACCCTAGGCAATTTATATATGGTCACTAATATGATTATCAAACATAATTGAACATGAATACAACGCAAAGTGATATAAATTCTGCCTATGGGCAAGTGTAGCAACTCCAAGGTTACATCAAGTCTAAACTACGTCAAGGAGCTTAATCTAAATACAACAAAAGTAATGCGTCCACACACGTGCATGAGTGTGGGGCTCACCAAAAGGGATCATAGTTATCAAATCATGAATTATATCTAGAATCATTTGCTCAATTTTTAAATCATGAATTGTGAACCATGATGTATTGTATGATTTAGAAACACATCAATAAAACATTTGAATATACATAATTTCACATTTAAAACATGAACAACATACTTAAAAGTCTCAAATAAATAATTAAATATCATACAAGATGGAGCTAGATATTTTATCATGTGGTGCCAACCAAGAAAAATTTTATAAATTAAACTAATTAAATAAATTACACATTTTTAGTTTTAAATTTTTAATATAAAGGAAGTTTCTAACATTGAAATTCATATAAATTTATTTAGTTATTTAATGTAAAATAATTATGAAACTGTTGACCCTTAATTTATTCTATACAAATTATATATTAAACACAAATATTTATTAAATCATGAATCACATCGTGAATCATAACGAGAATCATATCAAATTGTGCATGAATCACACGATTTAGATGTTACTGCAATTCAACAACTAATATAAATTGCTAGTTTCACAAATTGTATCAAATCGCATGAATCAAATCGTGAATCATATGATTCTAACAACACTAAAAGGATAATTCTACTAACGAGCTGATGGGCCCAAGCTATGCTTAGCACTGGAATTGAAAAGAAAATTTTAAAGTAAAGAGTGAGTCAAATGGATAAATGAAAGATAATACATCTATCTATGACAAAAAAGGAACAAGCATGGAACACAATCATTTAACTAAACATTCTCAACATATTTATCAACATAATCATAATTTCATTTATGAGACAAAGGTTTAAAACAAGTAGAAAACATCTAGACGTAATCATTTATCCAAATATAATAGGAGGTTCTAATTGAGGACCAAGAATATCAGAATCATAAGGTGACCAAGACTCCGAAGGGTAGCAAGACCCACCAAAAGGTAACAGAACATATCCCCACATGTTAGCCAAACACAATGCATAGCAAGAGCCACCAACAGTAGCAGAACATATCTGCACATGTCAGCCAAACAGACCGCGCTAGCAACACCTCTACTAGTTGAGGTCCACATCAAGGTGCACCACTGCCTTTAGCTACAGCTTTCTGTCAAAATACCCTCCCATAATAATTTTTTTCAGAAGTTTCTACAAACAATAAATGTCTCATTTTCTTATACAGAAATGTTCATGGTACATGTCTAAAGGATAAGTTTTCCATATACTCATCCTGACTTTTTAAAATATTGTTAAGGTTTTTCATCAGAAAAACACCGTGGTTATTCTCAAAAGATTTCCATATGTGCATGTAATAAAATCTGAAAGCCTTTAGAATATAAAGTGAAAATTTAGAAAACTTAAAACAAATTATAGCATATGCATTATCACTCACCGTAAAAGCTGAAACCGAGGTGACATGACACCTTTCATTCCTATCGATAAAATATTATATATATATATATATTTTGTATTTTTCTTGCTACTGGCCATTGTTTGCAAAACAAAAAACGACTCGGATTGCATGGAAGAGATTTTCAAGAATTGTATATTTAATTCAATGACATATTAATTCTTAATGGACTTAATTAATATAACATAACCTATAGCGAGAATGTGCCCTGTGATCAACGGTACCGAAAGAAATATATTCCAATCCAATGATCCTAACACAACCAATATTACACTAATTAAGAACCCCAAATCAACTTTACATCGAAATCAATGAGTCGCAAATATAACCCCTAACCGAGACAATAAATTCAAACAACCACAATCCAAATGCAATGATCGGCGATCATAAACCACAATCGAACTACAGATTCACCTACCTAACCTCAAGATTAGTTAACCAATCAAGGCAGACTCGACATATAAGCAACAAAGAAACGTGGTAATTGGGAAAACAGCCGTATCCAAAGTACTGGGAAGGAATAGTAACTCTAAATACACAGCGAGGCAGTGATACATTATCAGTAAGGAAAGACAGTAAACCAAACAGAGTATATTCTTGGCAATGAATGGAGTGGCAAAACAGTAATCCGAGAAAAACTGAGAAGCAGGAAATAGAGGCCAACGCAGAGAAGCAGTAAGCATGCAAGGGAACCGGAGGAGAGAAGAATGGAAAATCATACAAGCGAGGTCGTCGAGGGGTAGCTTGGATTCGTCAATCGCAATAGGAAGGGAGAGTAGCCGGCGGTTTCCGGCTGGTTGGTTGAGGGCAGAACGATGCTGGAACAGGGAACCCGAGGTAAATGAAAACGGGTCAGTGATGCATAGATGGAGAGGAAAACGCAGAAGAGGAGAAGGAAGGGATTAGAGCAGCCAAACTGTGCTCGGGAGAGGGTGGACGCCGGCGGGGGAGAACAGCGGCTGCTAGCACCGCTGACGGGCACTGAGCAGGGCGGCAGTAAAATCGGTTGTGAGACGCAATTGACGCAGAAAGAAAGGGAGAGCGAGTCAGAACAGTATCGATGCTCGAAGAAGCTCAGAAGCAGGCGGCCATGCAGTTCAGCCGATTGAAACTTGAAGGAGGAGATGGTTTGAACGGGCATTAGGATTTCGGGGATTGAAGAGGGCAAATGAACAATTTGCTATTTAGTTCCTCCTCTTTCCCCCGTGTCATAGAGGCCCTAAATCCTCCAATTTATTTATCTCAGCAATCAAACCTTCCAATTTTTCAATTTGGTGCCTGGACGTTTAGAACGTCTGAATTGAGTCCCGAAATATATTTTAATTAGATGGGAATGTCACCAAGATGTCTAGAATTGAAGATGTACTTTCAGTCGTAGAAACATGTTAATCCAATAAAAAATTTTGGGCTTAAATTTTTTATTAACTTTTCAATATTTCTTCTTTTTTCCACTCCAAAATCTCCAAAAGCCCTTTCTAATATTGAACGTTGAATAGATCAGTAATATTTATAGAGTCATTTTATATTAATTTCGTTTGAATTGGTATGAAGCCTTCATTCAATATTAGCAATATGCTGTAGTTCAGGGAAAGAGCATAAGGAATTTTTAAAAAGGGCAACTAATATAGAAGGAAAACAAAAGTTAGAAAATACAAAATGAATAACCCACTGAGAGAAGGAGGAGAGGGAGAGGAGGGCGATTTCTTCAAATTGGGTTAATTCTATTTCTTGTTTCATCTTAGAAATAATGAAAGCACTGATAAAATGGCTAATATCTACAAATCCACGTATTTAAATTCTAATTTAAAACTATATTATCATAAGTGCACCATATAAATAAAGCAAAATATGTCTAAATCAAATAATTTCCAATTACAAATGCTTGAAGTCCTAAATTAATCACTATAACAAAGTAGTGGATTTTTTACAGACAGTTTTCGTTAAAAAAAGTATAAGTTTTGTTAGAAACATTATTTTTTGAAAAATTTCTAACAGGCACATTACCATTGAAAAAAATTGTCAATAATGAATTTTGGTGAAAAAAACTTTCTATCAAAAAATTTTTGGTAGAAATAATCCATCGATAAAAAAAATTTCTATCAAATTTTTTAGCAGACATAAAAAAAATTTCCAATGGATGTTGACAGAATTTTTGTTGAACTTTCCGACAGAAGCAACAAGATTTTGAACATAATTTCCAACAAAGTTTGCCAAAAATTTTCGGCAAATTTTCTGATAGCCACAATCGAAAATTCTAATGGACTTTCTAATGGTCTTGGCCACAAAGGACTAGCGGATTTTTTATGATGTCCAGTAGAATTTCTAATGAAATCTCTAGCAAACTTTGCCGAAATCTCCAGTGAACTTTCCAATGGCACTTTGGATAGAGACAATGAAGAATTTTGATAGAATTTCCAATGTTTTCTGTCAAAATTTTTTGATGGAGTTTTTGATGGAATTTCCAAGGAGTTTCCAACACAATCTGAAGGTATTTCCAATGGTATTTTCGACATAATTTCTGACGGCATTTTCAATGGAATTTCCAATAAATTTTCCATTTTTTTCTTACATTGTATTTTTTGATTTCCATTTTATTTTTCTATTTTATATTTTAATAATTTTTAATTTATATTATATTTATATATTTCATTTTTATATTCCCAAATCTATTTTTTATTAAATTTTTTATATTTAATTTTAATATATTTATTAAATTATTAGTAACTATACATGAAGTATTGAATTTAAATATTTGAAATTATATTAATAAATTAAAAAATACATTGAAATAAAAAATGTAAATATGTCCTAAAATAAACAAAACATATAAACTACTAATCTGTATTAGTCTCTTCCAACATATCCTCTCCATTTGATGTGTGTTCAGGAATTGGTAATGATAACGTGTATATATCAACTCTAGATAATTAGAGAAAATGATGAAAGATGTTGCTCACATTTCTACAATAAGTACTAGATTAAAAAAATTAAAGGAAGCATATTTTAATAAGATAGCATAATACAAAAGTTACAAAATAATATAAAAAATATAAAAAATACATAAAAACACATACAAAATATTATCAAAAAAATAAAAAGGTAGGTAGCGTGTACATATCAGTAGAGCAAATAGAAGATAAAGTTTAGAAGACTAACAGTAAAAACAAAAATATAACTGCTTGGATAGGCTTGGACGAGACAGTGCAGTAGCAAGCATGGCAACGGAGTAGAGATGACGGCTAAGCACAGTAGAGTAGATCAACTAGAGATAGTTAATGGGCGGCAGCAACAATGGAGGAAGGCACGGTGGACAACGGATGAACCCCGAACATCAGAGAATAAATGGGAGTGAGAGTGAAGAGAGAAGAAGTTGTGAGCGAAAATGGAGACATGGAAAGCTGTCACAAGTACATTTTTGATGGGTAGTCCGTCGACTGACTATTGAAAATAGATGCAAATCCCAATATCCCATCAAAAACCTTATTTCCAATAAACATTAGACTTACTGATAGACTTTGTCCATCGTAAATAAAAAATTTAAAAAGTTTGATTTTTTAACGGCTTTTCAAACAATCAAGACATCTAAAATTAGGACTCAAATCTCAATATCCCGCCAAAAAACCTCATTTTAAATGATTTTTCAAGATCACAAAAAAAATTTAAAAATTCAATTTTTTGACAAAAACAAAAAGGTTTTCTATTTTCCAATGGCTTTTCCAATGGTAACAAATAAAAAATAAAAAAATTCCATTTTCTTGTGGCTTTTTTGATGGTAACAAAGCAAAAATTCTAAAAATTCCATTTTTTGATGGTCAAGTCATCAAAATTCGGACACAAATCCCAATATCCTACTGAAAACCAAATTTTTTAATAATTTTTTTTGACAGTTTTTGTCTGACAGTTACAAAAAAAAATTTAAAATCTATTCTCCAATGGCTTTTCCTATAGACTTCCCATCAGCACAAAAAAAAAAAATGGCTTTTCCATTGGTAAAAAAAAATTAAAAATTTCATTTTTTGACAACTTCTCTAATGATAATAAAAAAATTCTAAAAATTCAATTTTTAATGACTTTTCTTTTGATAACAAATTTTTTTTTAAAGTCTATTTTTGATGGCTTTTCTAACAGCTTAACACAAATTCTAATATCTCGCCAAAAACCTCATTTTCAACTACTTTTTTGGTAGTCACAAAAAATTAAAAAAATTAAATTTTCCAATGGCTTTTCCAATAGACTTTCCATCGGTAACAAAAAAAATTTAAAATTCCATTTTCTAATAGCTTTTTCGGTAATAATAAAAAAATTCTAAAAATTCAAATTTTTGACAACTTTTTCGTCAGTAACAAGAAAAATTTGAAAATGCCTTTTTCAAATTATTATTACTATTTTGAAATTCTTATAATTAATTTATGTTATTATAAGTAACTTATAATAATAATTTCATTATTATAATTTTATTGTATAGTAACTTATAATTATAATAATTTGAAATTAATAATAATTCTATAATAATTGATTGAAAAATCATAACTATGTAATAACTTATAATTAATAGTAATTGTACATTAATTATAATAATTCTATAATAACTAATAAATAAATGATAACTTATCAATTTATCATATAATAACTTATAATTCTATCAATTCATTATAGTCAATATAACTAAGGAATAAATTATAACTATGGTCTTATGATATAATTAGTTATAATTTTATATATTCATTATAGTAATTAGAAATTAATCACAATAAATATAATAATTAATATATAGATAATAACTTCTAAATTATCATAGAATAATATATAATATTCTAAAAATTGGTTATACTAATTAGAAATTGGAAATCATAATATGATAAAGTCGATCATTTTTTAGTTATTACAAATTAGTAATAGTAATTATATAGTAACTAATAAATAGACTAATTTATAACTTTATCATATAATAACTTACAATTCATAGAAATTACAAATTAACTATATGAATTTTATAATAACTAAAGAATAGAGATAACTTATAACTTTTTTATATAATAACTTATAATTTTACCAATTAATTATTGTCATGCCCTACTCCTCTGATCTGATCAAGGGAGGCATAACAGCGGGGATAGTGACCAACACTCCCCCTCGCCTAAAAGTCACAAGAGAGTGCTGGTCACTGTGACCCCTATCATGACTGGCTCAACTGTGATAACTTGTAATACTTGTGTAACATTTATGCCTACTGTACAATATAACTTAACCAATCCACACATGGTTTGGTCTTGCATCATCAATGGGATATATTTCACTAACTCTGTAAAATTTTCAAAGTCTACAGTACGTCCTTCATATTACAATTCACCCACATCTATTGACAATCTACGTGAATATATTATTCTCGTCTCACTACTAAAATATATAAATACCATCTGCTGGCCCAATCTTCATTGAGTGATATGAAATGCTAGTGTGGTATTGTTGATGCTTCTGTCATTAGTTGTATCTTCTTAGTATCTGTACAGGGGGAAAAAGAAATGATGAGACTATTGTTCTAGTGAATGGTTTCTAAATAAAATTAGAGAAATAAGAATATTTTTCCAAATACTCATATAGATGTGTAAATGGAAAATTTCTTGGCAATGATTCGAGTTTAGTAAATCTGTTCATAAAGAAAATTTATAAAATAACATAATATCACTTTATGCAGAACTGTACCCATGTATGTATCATAATAAAAGCATACTATCTCACTAGTTAAACTTACAGATCTAGCCATAACTAAAAACATATAAAACAAGCATGGAAGCAAGCAAAATAGTAGTGGCTTCATCTATAAGTCTGGGTCAAAACGTGCACATAGACCATAAAATAAATTTGGGAAATCATCCATATCAACATTGTATATAAATCTGAATTTACTGGGTGATATTGACCATAGGACTTACTCCTTAGGACACCATTTTCATGGGTGAACATACATGGCTTGTTTGTCACACCTCACTTGTGATATCCCAAACCAAGTTGGGCATATTTAGCCTTATATGATTTGCATATAATATAGCCATTGTTGCATATTAGGAATTATTTAAAATTAAAAGAAATTCTTTTATTACTTTTTTGTCTACAACCCCAGAAGAGATTAAAGAAGCATGTAGAAGCCTTAAGACAAGAGTACTTTGTGATAGTGAGATTGAAATAGAAAAAAAAGTGATGGTTTAGAGGAAGAACTTAGACTAAGAAAATAAAGATAGAAATAATAAGCATTTAAATTTAGTTAAATAAAGTTAAAGAAATTAGTTAGTGAATTAATCTACTTTAAAACCCTTAAACCTTAGGGACAAGGAAGGCATTAGACTAATTGCCTAGGGATAGGAAAATGGAAATAGAAGTTAAGGGGGCATGGGGAGTTGCTATATTATGATTGTGGAAATGGAGGTGGAAAAATTGTAAGGAAAGTGTGGAGGACTTTGGAGAAAAATATAGAAATTAGGACATAAATGAGCATAATTAACTTGATTAGATTAGTAAGATTAATTAATATGTTAATCGTGGTTTGGGGTTGCTCAAGCTAAGGGATAAATAGGGATATAAGATAGAAGATTAGGGTTAAAAATGGAAAGAGAAACACCAGGGACATGGGAGAAAGAAAATCTTTAGTAAAGGGGCAATATAGTTATTTCATTAAAGAGGTGGAAAACCATGTATAAGGGGTTGATATTTAGATGTATAGAACCCTTTTGAAGCCTTTAGATTTTGTGCACCTAAGGGAGGAAGATAGGAGAGAAAGAAGAAGAAAAAGGTAAGGAATTCTCTAGAACTTTCTAGAAACTTGATGTTTGTGTAAACATTTTTGTAGATTTTGATTGTGCCTCCATTTTTCTACCATTTAATTAGACTAGCATGAGGTTTTGAGCTAGTTTGCATGCTGAAACCCTTGCTAGACCAAACCATGAAGGAAGGTGAACACGTGCAATTTTGTTGTCATTCTTTGCTTATTATTGATTTCCTTTACAAAATCTTATGTTTTTATGGATTAATTTTTTGTCACACCCACCCTTAATAATAAGTAAGGCATGATAGTAAGGCAACAACCTATTTGCCATTATGACAAAAATCTGGTAGTAAACTGACTACTGTAATCCCTATCATAATTCCCTGTATAACTTGTGGTTAGTCCCCGTGAGCTATAATCATCATACCACATGTAACCATGAGAATAGTATAATCCCTTGGGCCATAAGGCCATTTAAATCTATAACATGTGGCAATAATATATGCATGCATAGAAAATCATCTAACCTTATATGTAAGAACTAACTATGTTTATGTTGTATGTTATACAACATTCTTCATGTATTATACAAATAAAATCATGTTATATTGCTATACACTCATTTTTCCTTTCTCAACCTTCTACAATAACATAAATCTGAAGAGAACACCCCTGGAAATTTGGCCCCACCTTTCTAAGATGAACAAGAGTGCTGCAGAAAGTGGTGAGATGTAAGTACACTAACTAATTGGCTGAGTATCTATAAAGGAGAAAAATAATGAGACTAATGTCCTAGTGAATGGTATATACGCTAATCTTAGTTTAAATAGTTAGGGTTTTGCAATCATATGTACATAAATAAGCATAATGAAATTTCCTAAGATAAGACATACATTAGAAATAAACATCAGTGAGAGATGGGAATTTTCTGTCATAACATAGAGTTATAGCATATAAGAGAAATTCAGTAGAAATCATATAAGAATTGTCAAAGTCACAATATGTTATATGGCTCTAGTCGGATGTGCACAATGATCAATCTCTAGGGGTAGTAAAACATAAAAGAAAAAAGATTTGGCCCTCATTGGGAAAACATGCTAGGTGCTGTTGCACTATGTAACCTACATCGAAAGTTACTGCTATTCCCTTAGTTAAATTGACACAATATGTGCCCTCCAGAATTCGTTATTAGTTCCAATCATATGTTATATAGTATCATGCATATAGAACTGCCACTTATCTTGAGTAGCTCCCTACATTTCTAGTATAGTGCCGAAGCACAAAACATCACGAAAACACTATATCAAGATATATAACAGAATCAAAACATAGTTGAATTATTTTCATTTTCTCAATATCAACATATGAGTGTTTTTATAATAGTTTTCCTTGGGCATAAACACATTTTCAAAAAACATTCTAAGATTAGAGAAATGCTACTCATATTGTATAGGAAATCTATATATGGGATTCTGAAGCCAGTGGTTCCTGGTCTGGCTCAAGCTTGTCTCCCTCTCCTATAGATTAGACACATGTAGATGTGAGTAATATGTCCCATATGGAAAATGAAAATGCATGCCCAAAAGATTTAGACAATTTAATGATCATGTTCTTATTTCCCTTAACCTTGTTTGCTTTCTTATCTTTTATTTCTTACGAGTTTGGTTCCTTCACCTTTCTTAACCTTGATTGTGCTCCTATTTTTAGCTTTCCTTTTGAGTCATTTTATGTTTAGAAACTCAATTTTCAAAATGTCTAAGTTGCTAAAAAAATTTTTCAGCTTCCAATCATATAATAACTTAAGTGATTAAGTTTGGCTTAAAGTTGCCTTTGATCACTTCTCTAAATTGTGTTCACCTTTGGTCTCCTTTTGACCCTCCTAACCAATCTTATTTCGTGCCCCATTGAGGGTCATTTCCTTTCCCAAAATGGGTTCTAATAAGCTGAAATTTTCTACTGAAAATTTAAGTTTACAACTCACCTCTTTCCTTAGGTTTAAGGGTGCTATGTTCAATTTTTAGCCATTATTTGATGTCCTTTTTAGCCCTAAGCGAACGTCTTACCTTTAAATAAATTTTCAAAAGTGTTTTTGTAGCCCAAAAAATTAGGAGTTTTTTATTATCTAAGTTAAATTTTAACTTTATCCGCCAAATAAGAATAAGGAAGCGAAATGTCACGAGAGAAGATAAAAGAGAACAGTGAGAATATTCCCAAAGAAAGAAAAAGAAAATACAAATAGAAAGTCATGTTGAGGGGGGGGGGGGGGGGAGCAGATGATGAAAATTTTCCAATTTTGAATTCTATGTCAACTTTGTAATGGGTGAAAGGAAATCAGAATCTCCAGCACGCGGGGGGAGAAAGAATGTGATGAATTTGACAACCAAGTTCAGTGAATCATTGTATCCTACACGGTGCTCCATTGAAGATAAAACTCTTCAATGTCATTTTAATTAGATACTTTGTACTTCAGCAAGTTAACTCTGTTGGTTGTTTATGAATCCAACAAAGAAGTGGATGTTGTGCTGGCTTAGATGTCCTTACAACCCAAAATGACTGAGATACATCTTCTTATCAATTAAATAAAAGCAAAGTTCTTTTCCCCGTTTGGATTAGCACTTAAATGCTTAGTACTTCGTTTCTTCTTTTACTATATAGCTTAAACCTGCCATTTTGACAATGAGAGAACTTAAAAAAAAAAAAAAAAGATATAAAATAAAGGATTAATTATTACTTTTCAGCCCAAAAAAGGATTATTATAAAATCATAAGTCTAGCATTTAATCGTGCTGAAAATAAGATTACTCAGCCCAAGGGATTAACAATTCCAATCTCCCCTTCCCTGTGGGTTAATAATCCCAATGTCTCTTGCCAATAACTGAAATAAACAAGGGGTACTAGATGCAAGTTATGCCTTAATTTAATTTTGTAGGATAGGATTCCAAGCAATCTGCCTTTGTAAATAATTTTTTAACAATGTATTTAGCTGTTATTTCATGTGACATCATATAAATGTGACACATATTATTATTATTATTATTATTATTATTATTATTATTATTATTAGTACTACTACTATTTCTTTTTATATTAGAGACATGAATACATGAATAGAGAAAAATATAAGTTGAAGGTCTTAGCTTTAAATAAATTTCAAAAGTGTGTTTGTAACCAAAAATAAAGACAGAGAGAACAATCAGACTGTTTTATTATTTAAGTTAAATTTTAACTTTAATATTATTTCATTAAATAAGAATAATGAAGAGAAATGTCAGGAGAGAAGAAGAAAGAAAATTGCGACAATTTTCTCAAAGAAAGAAAAAGAAAAAGAAAATACAAATAGAAAGTCATGTAGGGAAGTGAGCGTATCAAGTACAATGAACTTGGTTGTCCGGCTTACCACATTCAACCCGGCTGGCTGCTGATTCAGATCAATTGCTTGCAATGAACATGCATAGTCTGCTCTATATAAACCTCAATTCACTAGACTTAGTCACTCAAACCAAGGTAGAAGTTAAATGCATAGGATTCCTTGCATTTTAACTAACTGCAAAAATGGATTCGACACTAGAAAGAAAATTTGTGCTTGCAGCCTTGTTCGTCTTGGCACTGTTGGCTTTACAGGCCACGTCTCGGCAGCTCCAAGAAGCGTCCATGTACGATAGGCACGAGCAATGGATGGAGAAGCACGGGCGTGTTTACAAGGATGCTGCGGAGAAAGAGAGGCGCTTCAACATATTCAAGGACAATGTGAAGTTCATAGAGACCTTTAACCGAGCCAGCAATAGGCCTTACATCCTGGGTATTAATCGGTTTGCAGACCTGACCAACGAAGAATTCAAGGCTTCTAGGAATGGGCACAAGATCTCTTCGCATCCCAGGCCATCCAAGTCCATACCATTTAAGTACCAGAACGTAACTGCAGTGCCATCCACTAAGGACTGGAGGAAGGGGGGAGCTGTCACCGCCATCAAGGACCAAGGCCAGTGTGGTAAGAGCCCATCCATATTTATTTTCTTTTTAAGCCGAAAATATTTTCTTAGTAGTAATAGAACTACTGCCTGATCTAGAGGCTAACCACCTAAAGACGTTTCTTCCGACACATGAAATAATTCACCCATAGAAATATTCGTTACCCCAAGCCAACAAACAGAATCAGATGGTAGATATTAGGTGCTGAAAATAAAGACCAAAATCTCTAGAAATTCTAGAAAATGGCGGAGAAAATTATATTCAGAAGAAAAATCAACAGAAACAAAGAGGTCCTGAGCTCTTCCTATTCAGACTTCGCCAGTGAGCATGCATAAGAATTTGTAGAATTTGAAAAGCGGGTAAATACTAGTTTTCGTAGATTTTAAGTTTCCAACTCCTTCCAATGGGCTATTATGACATTTCATATAAAGCAGTGGAGGAGTCACTTTCAATAAGAGAAGTTCCTATTTTAGACCAGAGCTCACTTAAGACTAAAGGATGCAAAGCATCACATATGCCCAACATTTTACTTCATTCAGCAAGAGCTCTCAAATTCCATTACTATTCTTACGTGCGGTTTGCTGCTCTCTCTCTGATCAACAGGATCTTGCTGGGCATTTTCAGCAATAGCAGCCACCGAAGGGATCACCAAGCTCACAACTGGAAAATTGATATCACTCTCCGAACAAGAACTGGTGGACTGTGACAAGAGCGGCCAAAACGAAGGCTGTGAGGGAGGATACATGGAGGATGCCTTTGAATTTATTGTGCAAAACAAGGGAATCGCTGCAGAAGCCATCTACCCATACTTGGGTTCTGATGGAACTTGTGACACAACGAAGGCAGCCTCTCATGCAGCTGAGATAAACGGCTACGAGAAAGTGCCACAGAACAACGAGCAAGCCTTGTTAAAGGCCGTGGCTAATCAGCCGGTCTCAGTTTCCATTGATGCTGGTGGCAGCGCCTTCCAATTCTACAAGAGGGGAATTTTCACAGGAGATTGTGGGATAGAGTTAAACCATGGAGTGACAGCAGTTGGATATGGGGAAAGTGAAGAGGGTGCAAAGTATTGGCTGGTGAAGAACTCGTGGGGAACTAGTTGGGGAGAGGAGGGTTATATCAGAATGCAGAGAGGCATTGGTGCTAAGGAAGGCCTTTGTGGGATTGCCATAGATGCTTCCTATCCTACTGCGTAAATCTAGCTCTGCCAATCTTTTTAAATATATATGAAGCCCACATCTTTTTAAAATATATATGAAGCCCACAACTTGCCTTCTTTTACTTAAATCTGTATAATTGAAGCAGTTGTCCATGGATTGAACTTCGATTAATGAAAATGGATTGCATTCTTGGTCTATTTCTCTTACAGTAACGCTTCCTTTCCCCAATTTTATCTTACAGTAACGCTTCTTTTCCCCGAATTTTCTTGTAAATTACTAAATGCTGGCCTTTTCAGGCCTCAGTTCCCAGCAGCTCACCTCAGGTTCTCAAAATCAAACGAACCCTATCAAACAAATCAAACTAATTTATTTGAAATTACTCCTACAAGAAGATTTCACAGAAGACAGAAATCTTGCTATTACAAACCCACAAATAAAACTACAACCAAATTATGGCAAAGCTTTGTCTCGCCTTGATCATCTATGGCAAGTTCCTTAGATGCCCTCCTTGCAAGACTTATCTAATTAACCCTCCAGATCTAGGAGGAAAAGAAAAGAAAACACGGAATATAAAGTACAATAAGTGAAGCTTATAAACCACGAGTGGATTACCAAAAGGCAACATTAAATAGATGTTCGCAAATGAAAATGGAGAATCTCTCTCTTGCCAAGAATATTAGAACACAATCCCAACATAACACCTTTTCAAGGACATTATTGTTGCAAAAATTAAATATGATTAATAAACAATTCATAAAACTAAAATTTTTGTTAGAGACAGTAATCACTGATCATATTCGTAGTTAATTAAAAATAACGGTGCCTTTATCAATTATTAAGGTTATCTCGTGTTTTGGTTGCTCAAAAACCTTCATGTATAAATAGATAACTTTTGTACTTAGAAGTATGGATATAGACATGATTTCTAAGATAAGATGCACAAGGAAAATGACATACAACAGTAGGAAAAAATTAGGATGAGATGTGACTGAAAAATATAACATTTTAACGCTTATATTTTATTATGTTTTATAAATAAAGCGAACATAGCATGACTATCTTAAATGAAGCCAATAATGCATACTCAAATACTACTCCACGGGAATTAAAAACCATTACTGATTTTTATAATAATAATTTTTCTTTATAATAAATATATGTAAAATATGTTTTTAATTACACATTATTTTTATTAAACATTAATGTTGAGTAAAAATATAAATTTTCGTATCTATGTCCTAATTAAGACATGCATATCTTCATTTTGTTTTTTAAATTTCTGTTTGACCCACCGTTGCTTTTAACTATATTTAATAATTATGGAAGATTATATATATAAGATACTTAGCCCAAAGAGAAAGAATTTTTCTGAATTTTTTGCAAACTGTAAAGAATTTTATATTTAAATATATCAAAAACTCATGCCACTGAACAGAATTTGTCAATAAAAATAGAAATTTTGTGAATCAAATATCTCCACATATATATTTTTTTTTCCTTTTGCATTTTATCCAATCAAATTAGTTTTACCATTGTCACACCCAACCCCTACAATATAATAAGTGGGTGTGATAGTCAGACAAAGGCTAACACTCTTCCAAATTAATAATCCTGCAGCATGCTATCTTCTATAACCCTTACTATAATATCAGCTTATGGACCTACGTCTGTGTACCTATGGTTTATACATAATACCCCACTAGAAAAAGCTAAAATTCTATTCTGCATAATGTATAAAGCCTAACAACCTGTAGTTGGTATGTTCATGTCTGTTCCCATCCACACAGTTTAAATTATTAATTAATTTACACACTGTCCTCTTTAATACAATAATTTGCAATGATCATCATCTTTAAAAATAAAATTTGAGCCCCTCATTCATAACAAGGTAAGCTAATACAGCAAAAAATTCACAGAAATCCTAGAGGCCTGGCCACACCTCTACTATCATGTCGTGATGTTGGTGATGTAGAAAGGTGCATCCTTGGACTATTTGTCAAACCTGCATGGGAATAAATATGATAAGACAAAGTTTTAGTAAATGGCACACTAGTTAAACTTAGTGAAAACAGATAGGTTTTCTATTATGAGTATATCTGAGCATATTTCATAAAATATCTCAAATAGCAAAAAAATATCAAATTAATCATATAGAAAAAATAAATGAATTTCTGTAATCTTGCAATTTGAAGAATCCATGCAAAGTAGGATAATATAATCTTTGAGTATATGGTAGTGTAATCTTTCGAAGCATCATCATCAACTTAGGCAAAATACATGTGTAACTTTGGCCTAATGTACACAACAGGATATTATCTGGAGGGCAATATACATGAAAACATAAAACAATCTGGGACATAGTTTGGCTCTCGTTAGAGCAAACCATGTCAAAACATGTCGGACGCTACATGCTGTATAGTTGACACCATGGGTCGCCACCCCAAGGCCAACTAACATGGCTTTTGGCATTTGGGCCCTATTGGGGCATAAATCATATAGTGTCTAGGTATGTAGAACTGCTATCTGCTTCAGATGTTTGCCCGATATTTCATAGTCAAAACATGTAAAACATCATAGAAGACATCATGAAAAAATATATCAAAGAGCAAAAAATAGCTATCTGTTTCCTGGTTTTTCATATGCCAAACATACTTGTTGGAAACGTTATATTTGGATTCATAGATAACTCATTTTTATGAAACCACTGAGTTTAGAGAGGGTGCCATGCAATGTGTATATATTCTCCTGTGACTCAACCGAGCCTAGTTATTCTGGGTTGTGCTCCTCTCTAATATGTGCTCCTATATAAAATGAGTATACAAATGTAAATGTGAAGTTGAGAAATAAAGATATAAATGCATATGCATGCTAAATTTTCTAAATAATCTAGTCATTAGTTTTTCTCATCTAAATCTTAGAAAGGTGCTCTAGTATAACCCTTTTCCCTAGAAATCCCTTAACCCCCTTTCATGTAGCTATAAATAGGTGATAATTCAGCTTTATTAGAGATTCTTTAAAGGCTCAAAAATCACTTCCATCCCACCTTTAGGTTGCGGAAAATTTCTGCTCTCCTATGGAAACTTCGTATTTCAAGTTTAATCCCTTTATAATCTTAGTTTTCTCTCTATCTTTAAATCTACTTGGAGATTCTCTTTGGCCCTTATTTAAACACCATTTCGTGCTCCCCTTGCTAGGGGTATACTTTTACACAACAGTTTTCGAAAGAAAAATTTCCTGCTATGGAAAAATATCTACACACCTAAAAACTCCCTCCTATCTTCATCTTTCTTCTTATTTTTTGTTTATTTTCTGGACTTTATGCTATTCATGGCCTTTCCTCATGCAAGCCAAACCAATCCCCTCTATTTTTCCCTATTCTAGCCTTCAACATTACAAAAATTCCACAACAAACCATAGAAATACATGTTTTCCTCAAACACAACAGGATTTCCCACAATTTTCCTAAAAATCCTTTAAGTTGCAAAACTGCTATCCCTTCTCTATACATTCAGCCCCCTTCCAATTTTTAGCACCAAAACCAGTTTAAACAATGATTCTAAACTATTAAATTGTATAGAAATGAAAGCTAATGCAAGACATACAAAAATTGTAAGCAAAAATCTAAGAAGATTAAAAAAAAAAATCAAGATTCTTACCTTTCTTATCTTCTTTTTTCTTCCCCATCTTTCTTCTCTTTTCTCTTTACTCCTTGCTTCTGGACATGGCTAGCACTTGTGAGAACTCCAGAGTTCTCTATATACATACAACTCTCCTTAGACACCAATTACACCTTTCCCATTCCTTTTAGTTTGGAACAAACAAAGTAAACACATCTCTTCTTCTTCTTTTTTTTTTTTTTTTTTTTTTTTTTTTTTTTTTTTTTTTGGTTGGCTGATTGGTTGACTTTTGAATCACAACTTTTCTTCTTTCCCTTTTTGCTTTTATGCATGATTGGCTTATACACACACTTGGCATACATATATGGGGCACACAAGCCTCCCAGGCGAAATGAAAAAATGGCTCTTTTTATAATACTTTGGTTTCTTTCTTTTCTTTTTTCCCTAAATCATCACTTTCATTTCAATTTTTAATTCCACTATTGCCTCAAATTCATTCCTTAATGTCTCTACATGCTTTTTAGTCCTCTTCTAGGGTTGTGAAGAAAATAGATAAAATTATCTTGTTAGGTTTAATTTATGTCCAACACACAAAAATAAGTATAATGTATGTAAAATTCTATATGAATGCATGTATAATTGTTATGCATGCTATAGTTAAGCTAGGATGTCATAATTTTACCCCTTTAAAAGAATTTCATCCTCGAAATTTAGTTACCTATTATCTGGAATAGATACGGGTGTTTGGCTCACATATCTCCTTCTCTCTCCCAAGTTATCTCCTCTCTATCTTGGCTTCTTCACAAAACTTTTATCTGGGGCACTACTCAGATCTCAATTGCTTAGTCTCCTTATATAAAATTTGTATTGGCTCTATAATATAGGATAGATCTTTCTTTATTTCTACTGGTGGGGATTGAAGGACGTGAGTAAGATCTAGCACATACTTTCTCAACATAGATATGTGAAAGACCTTGTGTATTTGTGATAGCTCTGATGGCAATGCCAACCTATAGGCCGCTGGTCCTACTCTATATAATCTCATACAGTCCCATGTATCTAGGAGTGAGCTTGCCTTTCTTTCCAAACCTTAGCACTCATTTCCATGGCGATACCTTTAGAAATACTTTGTCTCCTGCATTGAAACTCACATCTTTATGTTTTGAATTTGAATAACTTTTTTGTTGATCTTGTGTTGCCTTTAATCTGTCCCTAATAATCTTAATCTAATCAACTATAGTCTGGACAATCTCAGGACCCAAGAGTTTTCGCTCACCTTCTTCATCCCAACGTACTGGTGATTTGCATTCTCTCCCATACAAAAGCCTCATACGAAGCCATGCCTAGGCTGGAGTGGAAGTTATGATTGTAAGTGAATTCTACCTAAGGCAAGTACTCATCCCAGCTTCTTGAGAATTC